CTTAAGTTGAAGGAGCATGGTTATGTCAAAGTTAACAAGGAGTTACTATAAATTAAATCAAGATGAGGAGGCCGTCGGAAATGGAGAATCTCAAGGCTCTGTCCTTAGACATCTGTTTACCATGTATATAAATTATTTAGATTCAGGACTGAACAGCGATATTTGCAGATTTGCTAACGATGCGAAAATTGGTCGGGAAATGAACCCAGAAGTCTCAAAATCGTTGCAAGATGACCTAGATTGGCTTTAGAAACTGTCGAATGATTGACAGATGCTGTTCAATGCTGACAAGTGCGAGGGTCCTGAGGCTAGGAAATGATGATAGAGTTGCAAGATATCAGCTGGATATTGAAATTGCGAAGACTGATTGCCAATAAGATCTGACTGTGAATAAGGTCTGAATGCGTTCATTAGATCGCTTTCAATGAAAGATGACAAAGTTAATTCCACAAATTACAAACATTCCCTATAAATAGCATTTCCCAACGAATGGACCAATCGGCTTTCTGTAGTTTCTTTAATCCTTATATGTTGTTATCCTTAGGATAACCCATCAGCTAGGATAATCCCGCATCAGCTGATTAATTCCCAGGTGAACAGAGGCTTTGGGGGAGGGGGGTAAAGAAATTCTGCACATTTGTTTCTGCATTCGCAGGGAATCGATCCAGGGTCTTTGAACTACGAATGCCGAACGCTGTCCAATCAGCCGTCATGTGTGTGTGTGTGTGTGTGTGTGTGTGTGTGTGTGTGTGTGTGTGTGTGTGTGTGTGTGTGTGTGTGTGTGTGTGTGTGTGTGTGTGTGTGTGTGTGTTGTGGGAGGGGACTAGGGCCGAAGTACACCGTTTGGCTGATAAGGACGCTAGAAGAAACCTCTCCTCTCCCCCCCCCTTTCTCTCTCTCTCTCTCTCTCCAAGTGGCGTCTTAGGCTAAAAAAAAAATTGCAAGGTACCCTAGCACACGCACGAAAGCACAACTAGGTGAATCCACACACACACACTACATTTAACAAGTCGGCGTTCGATCCCCAACGATTTTAGTTTAGTTTAGCTCATTCATTATGCACCATATACCCATCCTGAGGCGTGGTAGCGGAGTAAAGATTTCAGACACACACACATTGATCCCCAAAATAAATTTAACTAAGCAAGTTAAGAGTCTTGATAAACTTGTTTGCCTTTCCTCTGTCCAACCCAAGATCCTTTTCGCATCCCTTCCAGGTGCTCCTCATAATTATCTTACCTCTCCGATTTCTTGTCTTTCAAAACTTAAATAAGAACTGCCTCGTATGGGCCAATAAGAGCTGCCTCGTATGGGCCAATAAGAGCTGCCTCGTATGGGCCAACAGGAGCTGCCTCGTATGGGCCAACAGGAGCTGCCTCGTATGGGCCAACAGGAGCTGCCTCGTATGGGCCAACAGGAGCTGCCTCGTATGGGCCAACAGGAGCTGCCTCGTATGGGCCAACAGGAGCTGCCTCGTATGGGCCAACAGGAGCTGCCTCGTATGGGCCAACAGGAGCTGCCTCGTATGGGCCAACAGGAGCTGCCTCGTATGGGCCAACAGGAGCTGCCTCGTATGGGCCAACAGGAGCTGCCTCGTATGGGCCAACAGGAGCTGCCTCGTATGGGCCAACAGGAGCTGCCTCGTATGGGCCAACAGGAGCTGCCTCGTATGGGCCAACAGGAGCTGCCTCGTATGGGCCAACAGGAGCTGCCTCGTATGGGCCAACAGGAGCTGCCTCGTATGGGCCAACAGGAGCTGCCTCGTATGGGCCAACAGGAGCTGCCTCGTATGGGCCAACAGGAGCTGCCTCGTATGGGCCAACAGGAGCTGCCTCGTATGGGCCAACAGGAGCTGCCTCGTATGGGCCAACAGGAGCTGCCTCGTATGGGCCAACAGGAGCTGCCTTGTATGGGCCAACAGGAGCTGCCTCGTATGGGCCAACAGGAGCTGCCTCTACTATTTACTTAATTCTTACGTCCTTGAAACTAAAATTTCCTCTTGAGAAATACCTCGAAGCGATACAAATAGTCTTCACCTTAATGAAAAGAAAGTACTTCTTGAGACTTGCCTAAGCTGGAAGTGGGAGCCGCTGGAGAAGACTCGTCTTGCTCCTATGCAATATTGTCTCCAACACTGAATGCAAATCGTGTTTGCAACATTGAAACAACGTCAATACTGTCTGAAAACAGAACAAAAAACAGATGGCAGGAGCCTTGGGAAAAACTCTGCAACACTGAGCCTGCAATGCTGTATGTAACACACACACACACATGCCTGCAACACTGCTTGCAACCCCCAACACACTGTCGTATAATGATGACATCTGGTGATGGATCTGGTCGGCTTTCCTCCCCTCCCTCCCTCCCTCGCCTGCTCCCCCAAACATTCTAAGCGGAGCACGAATGTTGTTTAACATTCAGCTACTGGGAACAAAACGTTCCAAGTAGCACGGGCTATGGTGAGCCCATAGTGAACTTACCTGGCACCGGAGCACGGGGGCTGTAACTGGATGGAGCAAGAAGACCTTTCATCTATATTATATCATCCTTGCGCGCCGCCATCCCTTTCCTTCCGTGGCGTTGTTTAGTAGTAGCCAAGATGATAATTTTCTGACCCCGAATGTCAACGCGACCTCGCCCAGAATGGTGCCTCTATTCCTCTATGTGCTTCAGCCTACAGTTTAGACCTATTGTCTTATGACCCTCTGTCCTGCGTGACAGTGAATACTAGCATTATCCTCACTTTAATAAGACCTATCAAAATCCTCAGATTAGGCAAAATTGTAATTAATTTTGTCAATAAAGATGTTAATAATGATAATCTATTCCACACCCGCGCAGGGTTATTTTTTTCCTGGTGACTGGTTCGCGCCGCGTCCTGGTGTTGGGTTACTGGTGTTTGCTGATGAGGGAGTTGGTACCTCCTGTGGACTTTCATTTGGCTGTTTTGCCTCTCACGTTTACATCCTACTTAGCATAGTTTAAAGTTTTATAAGGCGTTGACCGAGTCATTACGAGAAGTGATTGATCTTCTGCTTCAAGAAGTGATTCTTGAAGCAGAATCCAATCTGTTTTAATTACATTGTTTACAATTTAAGCAACGATTATTTTGACGCCGTCGACAGTTGCGTCCAAACTCAAATGTTTTATTGTACTTTTGTACTTTATTTCTTATTGTACTTTATTACTTATTGTACTTTATTACTTATTGTACTTTATTACTTATTGTACTTTATTACTTATTTCGGTAAGCATTCTCAGACTACAGATTAGCTGCCTCGATACAGTTGCCAGCTGACCACCCAGTCAGACAACCAACCAGCCAGCCAGATAACCATTTAACCAGCTAGCCAGATAACCAGCCAGCCAGATATCCATCCAGATAACCAGCCAGCCAGCCAGAAAGCCAGCTCTACGCTACTGCTGGTCCACCTCGAGATGAACCGACAGATAAGGAACGTGTTTACATACAAGGCCGGCTTTGCCCCCCCCCCCCCCAGCCTATTTTCTCCGCGAAATCTACATAGGCTGGCGTGTTTCCGGGGCCCTCCGCCCTCTCCAGTATATATTACCGGGAGTCTCCAGTATATATTACCGGGAGTCTCCAGTGACGGTAAACTATACCTTGGTTCCGTGCCCACAAATGTGCATTATGTTGACCAGACCACACACTAGAAGTTGAAGGGACGACGACGTTTCGGTCCGTCCTGGACCATTCTCAAGTCGATTGAGAATAAAGTCAAGTCAAATAAATATAGAATGTGCATTATCAGTCCCCCGGAGGTTATAGGGCTCAAGCCGGTCCAGTTAAGAACCGGTGGAAGTTGTACCGGTACTAATAAGGTTTGAGAGACGGTACAAGTCTGAGGTGATCAAAACTAAGGTATAATTACGGTTTAACTATCAGTACTAGTTATGTATTGGCCCATTAGAGCCGTGTATTTATAGAGGTGAGGATTCGAACACCGGAAGAGAACAAAGCACTGGTCGAAAAAAAAAGTTCGATCATTATCAGTAGTAAGTCTGTGTGTGTAATGTAATTTTCATTCATAAACAGGTACTCACCTAGTTGTACTCACCTAGTTGTATTTGCGGGGGTTGAGCTCTGGCTCTTTGGTCCCGCCTCTCAACCGTAAGGTGATTTGGCGGCTAGGTTAACAAGCAGTTGGCCATTGTTAATTCGGCAACGTGTTCTTACAACTTGACGGACGTCTAACTTACTTGACGAACGTCTAATATATATATATATATATATATATATATATATATATATATATATATATATATATATATATATATATATATATACATATCACTTCCAACTCCTCTTGAGCTTCTGGCTAATGTTGGAACCAGAGCTTTCAACTAATACGTCTTAATTATGTACGCCATGGACCCTAACGTGCAAATTACGGAGTATTAATGGCAAATTACTATATAGAAAAGTAGCAGTTTACACAAAAATCCACTTTTTCCAGCCCTCCAGGTGAGCTAGGCTACGATAGGGGCGGGCTAGGCTAGGGATGGGATAAGCTAGGCTAAGGGTGGGCTAGGCTAGGCTAGGCAGGAGGTTTGGATTCGCACATTACAGTGTTTTTTTGTACGTTGTGGGACATAAAAGAGAACGAACTGAATGCTTAATAACGGTTCCAAATATTAGTTGGGTGCAAAACGACACTAATCCTCTGGTCAAAGGGGAGGAAAAAAATTACTTTCATTAATATTGTGGTCACTTTAGTGGGATATTCCGAGCCGTAATAGTGGTGGGAGTTGACATTGATTCATCACCAGCTAATGATCCCCATTACATGGGCTAAAATGGGAAGTAATTAATGCTTTAGTGGACTGGTTCGCCCCGCTTACACCGGTGACTTATGCAGTCTCGCTTGTATTTGTGCAATGACGGTGAGCTTAGTGGGGGAGGGGTGTGGTTAATGGTGTGTGGGGTGACGATGGGCGTGTGCTTGGATATTTAAGTGGGTGTGGGCGTGTGAGTTTGCCTGAGTGTGGGCGTGAGAGTCTGCCTGAGTGTGGGCGTGTGAGTCTGCCTGAGTGTGGGCGTGTGAGTCTGCCTGAGTGTGGGCGTGTGAGTCTGCCTGAGTGTGGGCGTGTGAGTCTGCCTGAGTGTGGGCGTGTGAGTCTGCCTGAGTGTGGGCGTGAGAATCTGCCTGAGTGTGGGCGTGTGAGTCTGCCTGAGTGTGGGCGTGTGAGTCTGCCTGAGTGTGGGCGTGAGAATCTGCCTGAGGGTGGGTGTGGGCGCGCGCGTTCACGTGCCTGAGCGATGGCTGTGACAAGCAGGGAACTGCTTGTTCCCTGCTTGCCTGCTCAGCCTGCTCAGTTCCCAAGTACTGAGCCCCACAGGGCTCAGTACTTGGACCCATCCTGTTTCTAATATATGTAAACGATCTTCCGGAGGATATAGACTCGTTCCTCTCAATGTTTGCTGATGATGCAAAAAATATGAGAAGAATCAAGACGGATGAAGATAGAGACTACAGGATGACCTGGACAAACTGGAGGAATGGTCTAGAAAATGGCTGCTAAAGTTCAACTCAGGAAAGTGTAAGGTAATGAAATTAGGCGAAGGGAGCAGGAGGCTGAACACAAGGTACCATCTGGGAGGTGAAATCCTGCAAGAGTCAAATAGAGAGAAAGATCTGGGGGTTCATATCACACCGAACCTGTCCTCAGAGGCCCACATCAAAAGGATATCATCAGCGGCATATGCTAGACTGGCCAACATAAGAACTGCCTTTAGAAACTTGTGTAAGGAATCGTTCAGGATCCTGTATACCACTTATGTCAGACCAATCCTGGAATATGCAGCTCCAGCCTAGAGTCCATACCTAGTTAAACACAAGACAAAGTTAAAGAAGATTCAGAGGTATGCCACCAGACTGGTCCCGGAACTGACAGGAATGAGCTACGAGGAAAGGCTAAGGGAGCTGAACCTCACAACCCAGGAAAACAGAAGAGTAAGGGGAGACATGATAACCACCTACAAAATTTTCAGGGGAATTGACAGGGCGGACAAAGACAAACTCTTCAGCACGGGAGGGACACGAACAAGGGGACACAGGTGGAAACTTAGTACCCAGATGAGCCACAGAGACGTTAGAAAGAATTTTGTCAGTGTCAGAGTAGTTAACAAATGGGATGCATTAAGTAGTGTTGTGGTGGAGGCTGACTCCATACACAGTTTCAAATGTAGATATGATAGAGCCCAATAGGCTCAGGAATCTGTACACCAGTTGATTGACAGTTGAGAGGCGGGACCAAAGGGCCAGAGCTCAACCCCCGAAAGCACAATTAGGTGAGTACACAAACACGCGCGCGCGTATAGGAAATAAGGCTCATTTAAAGATTAAATTTATTTCTCCAGTGAGTGAATGGTAAATTTTGAGGGGTAGGCTGTGTTTTGAATTTCTGGCATTGTATTCACATGACTCAGTGGGTAGTATCATTTGTTATTCATGTGAATCAATATCAATACATTTACATGTAGTAGTGAAGTGATATAGTGACCGAGAAGTGCCTTTAGTTTTATCTACTGTGAGACAAACTGGTATAGAGAAATTGTGAACACATTTTACTGACGAGACTGCCAGGAGACAAGCCGGATTAGGCTATGGAAGCGTTGCATTACGGAAGACCTCATTGTGAAGACATATATATTGCGAGATTTATATTGGTGAGAGTGTTATAAGGTCAACTATTTCAGTGAATGTTGTTAAACTTGATTAATCTGCCATTACTTCCTTGGTGTCCTTAAGGAAGAGGTTAGGTGGACTTAAGCATATTCTAGGTAGCCAGAGCGACTTGGCAATACTAATTCTAAGTTAATTGCGGGAGCATGAGGACTTTTTTTCGGTGAGAGAGATACTGATTACTATAGGGAGCGGTGATTAACATGAGTTCATATTTAACAACGGTGTGTATACTTGACACAGGTCATTGGCTTTAGATCATCCCACACCCTTACCTTGCGTTAATTTCGAGGCTCAAACGTCCTCGCGGCCCGGTCCCTGACCAAGCAAGCCTCCTACCCTGACCCTGACTTAAGCAGCCGTCTAAGTACTGTCCCCCCTGTGAGTGCAGAGACAGCAGTCATCTTCCCAGGAGAGTTTAAGGGAAGTTTAAGTTTACTTCTCTCCTCAAGGAGAGGAGTACTCTGCCAGTCAGTTGGATTTCTTTGTTCAATGTAACTTTCGCACCTCTACGAGGTATACAGTCGTCGACATCCTAACAATTTACCCAAAATTTGCTTGTCCATTTTAAAGAATGAAGAACAATTTTTATTTATATTACTTCTAAGCTGCATCACTTATGAACCCATCCCTGCCCTTGTGTGGCAGTGCACAATAGAAAGTTGTTTTCACATATTCATACATTAAAACATTGATTGTAATCATGATATATATGTGCTTCAGCCTACAGTTTAGACCTATTGTCTTGTGTATGACCCTCTGTCCTGCGTGACAGTGAATACCAGCATTATCCTCACTTTAATAATACTATCAAAATCCTCAGATTAGGCAAAATTGTAATTAATTTTGTCAATAAGGATGTTAATAATAAGTCGTAGCTCGTATCCGCAACGAGAGTTACGGGCTCACCATAGCCCGTGCTACATGGACACATCGTTTTGAGTAACTATATCTACAACAACAACCGGAACGAGAACGTTGGTTGTTACGTGTTGTTGGGGGGAAGGGGGGGGGAGGTCTCTGTCCGCGGGATCAGACACGGAGGTCGTTACACACACGCTTAAATACACTCTAATGTTTACTACCGCTACCAACGACACTAAACCCTGGTTTAGTGACATTAAAACCTACTGCGATATTCATGCTTCCTTTGACTAATGTTCATCTACTTGGGTGAGTGTGAGAGGGGGAGTCGACACTATTAATTTTACTAAAATTATTTATTAAATAGTGACACTATTTAGTCATTAAAAACCGACTAGTCACTAAAAACCGACTAGTCACTAAAAACCGACTAGTCACTAAAAACCGACTGCTTCGGTTCCAATACGCTTCTGGTAAGGCAAAATTTACTGTACAAATGACGGTTGTCAAATCGTGAGAATAATCCTACATGGACCAATACTTCCACCTTTATACGTCGCATTTCCTTCGGAATTGAGTAGACGCTAAAAACGGGACGTAATGGAACAAATAGAGAAATGGTATCAGGGGTTGTTAAAGGGGGGGGGGAGAGGGATAGACTAGGGCCTGAAACTTCATCACGCGTGGGTTTAGGACCCTAAAATCGATTTAAGCTGAAATAGAGAATTGTACATTGACCCCTCTTCCCCCCCCCCCAAAAAAAAAACACTCCGCTGGTCTTAATTCGAGTCGTTAGCTGCTCTGAATCACTATAGACAGCTGTTAACCCATGCACGGCTACAACCGCCATATGTGACTGTTCCTTATGGGTTTTTAATATTGTTTTTTTCATGCGCTAATGGATGCTGAACCTTTAAAAAAGTTTAGCAGTTTAAGGGTTAAACGATCAGGTATCGATCGATCAGGTATCAGGGATACCTGATCAACCAGGCTGTGACTCATACGTCAGGCTGCGAGCAGCCGCGTCTAACAGCCTGGTTGATCAGTCCAGCAACCAGGAGGCCTGGTCGACGACCGGGCCGCGGGGACACTAAGCCCCGGAAGCACCTCAAGGTAGCCTCAAGGTCAAGGTAACGAGTGATAGTTAAGATATTGAGCGGAACCGAAACATAATATAGATTGAAGTTCAATGCGTTTGTCTCTCTCTCTCTCTCTCTCTCTCTCTCTCTCTCTTTTGTTCAATATTTGGAGAGACAGAAAGCCTGTTTAACTTATACGACCTTACCAAACCGCAACCCACAACAGCTGGCTAACTCACGGCTATTTACACAGTCAGGTGAACATAGGAATCGGGTAAAAAACGAAACGGTGCTCAAACTTTTCCTTCCTGCTCTGATAAAACCCCGGATCTCTCGGTTGTAAACCCACTGCGCAGCCCACTGCGCTACATGACTCACACGCACATACTGCTAATATAACGTTTTCAATAGACACAAAATATATAAATTATATAAATTCTGCCAGGAAGAAACGCGTAGTTACACGCAAATTGTTAGATTTAACTTAGTAAATAGGGAAGCAAGTTTAAATAATTCAATGCATTTTGTTATCGTTCATTCCCATTTTCTTTGTAAAGCAAGTGATTAAAGTCGACTACCGTTGTAAAAGGTTATATCCACAACCAACAACAGCCACAAAAACAAGCAACCATAACAACAACCAATAGCCACAACCACCTCAACGACAACCAACAAGTTCAAAAACAAACACAACAGAAGCAGCCACAACAGCAGCAGCCACAACAACCACAATCACAGCAACAACCACAATCACAGCAACAACCACAACAACATAACCACAATCGCAGCAACAACCACAATAACATAACCACAACCACAACAATATAACCACAACAACATAACCACAATCGCAGCAACAACCACAAACTTTCAACTTCGTACTTATTGCAATTGTTATTTACTTATAAATCTCCAATGCTCGTATAACCAGCCAATAAGGAAGCACCACAACACCCATTTGTCCCACACGCACAAATAACAAGAACACACACACTCACGCGCAAATTAAAACAAAAACACAACTTTTCATAAAGTGAAAGCGAGTACTTTCACTTCACTTCAAAGTACTTTTTGAAGCCAATACTGGGCACTTTCCCTTTGAAATTACTCACAGAGTGAGTACACAATATTCACACGACTCTCTAAATCCATAGAAAAATGAACTCTTTCTATGCTCTGTGATTTAGTTTGGAGTTGAAGGTGTGGTCTATCATTCTCTATACAGTTAGTCTGGTCAATATAATGCCTTACTGTCCAACCAGTAATGGTCAATATAATGCCTTACTGTCCAACCAGTAATGGTCAATATAATGCCTTACTGTCCAACCAGTAATGGTCAATATAATGCCTTACTGTCCAACCAGTAATGGTCAATATAATGCCTTACTGTCCAACCAGTAATGGTCAATATAATGCCTTACTGTCCAACCAGCAATGGTCAATATATTGGCTTACTGTCCAACCAGTAATGGTCAATATAATGCCTTACTGTACAACCAGCAATGGTCAATATAATGCCTTACTGTCCAACCAGTAATGGCCAATATATTGGCTTATTGTCCTACCAGTAATGGTCAATATAATGCCTTACTGTCCAACCAGTAATGGTCAATATATTGGCTTACTGTCCAACCAACAAGTATACTTTAGTCCTGAATATCTTTCATGACAAGAATATGTCCTCTCTCAAGTATTTACATCAGCAGGCGGTTTACTGGTCTGAATAGCACAGTAGTCTACGTCATCGACTCTCACTCGACGGGGACCCGATTCAAATCCGCGGGAAGCACAGAAACAATTGGGCAAGTTTCCTTTCACCTAATTAATCTTTTTCACGTAACGGTAACACAAATAGGGACCCACGAGTTACGTAGCTGTTGTGGGTTGCATCATGGGGGGGGGGGGGGGGGGGGAAAGGTCAGTGGTTGATGTAGGAAGGGGGAGGATATAGGAGGGGGGGGGGAGGGGCCACGATATACTATATCATACAAGCGTCCTGTCCTCCGGAAGGCGGGAATAATATGGCAAACTATATGGTAGTTAAGTCCGAATTCGTCCTGAAACCCTGTGTGAATGCAGGTCTTAAGAATGAATGTATGACCGTGCGGCAGCGAAATTCTTCGTTAAAACCAATACCGAACTAATCCTAACTAATCCTCCTAACCTTTACCAACTAAATCTAACCAAATCCATTCCACCTTAATCTAATACAGTCTCTCCCATAAGAGAGAGACACAGTTTTAACGAGTTAGAAAACGAGCAACAGCGCGTCGACACCCCCGTGTACGAGTTGACCCGTTTGTGTACCACGTGACAAGCACTACTCATGCGATCGGGGTCAGGCGAAAAGCCCTTACCACCGGGCGACAAGAAACGGACCTGCGTGGGAACTCACGGAGTGGAGCGCTGCTGCTGCTGCTGCTGTGGCCTCGGCAAATCACCGTTTTTTTCGGCAGCGAGCCGCTGAGAGCGAGATCTGATCCCACAATCACCTTAGGTACGCGTCTCTCTCTCTCTCTCGTCGCCGAAACCGGATCAAGGTTATATAATATGTTAAGGGTGGGAGAGGTGTGGTGTGGGGGGGGGAGGTTGTGATGCTGGGTGGAAAAGGGGGGGTGTGTGGGAGGGTTGTGATGATAGGGTAGAGAGGGTGTGGTTGTAAATACAAGTGCAGAATGATTGCCACGAAAAAAACATGAAAAATATATATATCCCTTGTCACCGACGACCGAATTCTACCCATATTTCCTGAAAACATCTCTTTTACGGAACATCTCCGTATTTTTATTAGGGATCGACTTCTTTTCTTGGCATTCTCAAGGATTCTCAATATATAAATGTCTGCTAAATGTCGGAGCCCTCCTTGAGTGTCAGCTTAAGCAGCAGCTTGACTGCATGGAGGTATACTTGTAAGAGAGTGAGAAAACTCTCTTCCTCTTTCTTTCCCTCTCCATGCTTTCTACCTCTCCCCCACCACTCACTCTCTCCCTTCTCCCTCATCCCCTTTCTCCTCCATTACTCATCTCTCCCTGTCTTCCCATGAATGTAAGACAAATGTTACACAAATTCCATAGTGTATACTTGCGTCAGTTTAAACCAGCACGCGCGCGCGCGCACACACACACACACACACACACACACACACACACACACACACACACACACACACACACACACATCCAAAGCTACTCCACAGTCACATCAGGAGGAAAACAACAGTGAAGGAACAGGCGATGAAGCTTAGAACGGGTGAGGACAGGTACACAGAGAACGACAAAGACGTGTGTGAAGAACGCAACAAAAGATTCCAGGAGGTCTTCACAATAGAACAAGGTGAGGTCACTGCCGTAGGAGAGGAGGCAGTAAACCAGGCGGCCTTGGAAGGGTTCAAAATTACAAGAGATGAGATCAAGAGGCATCTGTTGGATCTGGACGTGAGAAAGGCTGTTGGCCCGGACTGAATCTCACCATAGGTTTTGAAAGAGTGTACAGGAGTACTTTGCTTGCCACTCTCCATAGTGCATAGTAGGTCACTGGAGACTGGAGACCTACCAGAAATATGGAAGACGGCGAATGTGGTCCCAATATACA